TCTCTTGCTAATGAGACTGGCAAAATTAAGAAAGACTGATGATTTAAAGTGGAGCAAGGATGTAGAGAAAAGAGAGTGCACAAGGGTACAGTCTTTTTATAAAATTAGCATTCTCTATGAGAACTTTTCAAATGCCTAACTTTTGATTGTATGGTTAAATATCCTAATTGCTCATAAATAGGAGTGTGATTAAATCATGAGATACTGATACTGTGGAATAGTACACAAGAATTAAATCTATATGTGCTGACAGAACAATCTCCAAAACGTGTTGTTAAGTGAAAAAAACAAGCTGCAAAACCATATGTAAGGCAATATCTGCTCGTATTTAGAGAAAAATGTGAAACAAAATCCTATTCCTAGAGTTCTGTATGTTCATACCTCCATATCGATAATGTATAGGGAGACCTGGAAAGATAGACATACAATTATGACAGTGATGGTTCAATGGAGAGAAGTAGAAAAAACAAAACAAACAAACAAACAAACAGAAACACACACACACACACACACACACACACACAGAAAACCCCAACAATTACTACAGTGGGAGGCATGGGATTGGGGGTATGAAGGAGAAACTCCACTTTTTACTCTGTTTCTTCACTGTTTGCAGTTACAGGAGTAACGTGTTCTTGTTTGTGTAATTAAAAAATTGTGCATTAATGGGCCTATATTTTATTTATTTAATTTACAAATTTGTGTAAAAAATTAGGTCTTGGCAGAGTGTGGTAGCTCATGCCTGTAATCCCAGCACTTTTGAAGGTCAAGGTGGGAGAATTGCCTGAGCCCTGAAGTTTGAACCACTCTAGGAACTATAACAAATAATACAAAAATTAGTTGGGCATGGTGGCCTGTGCCTGTAGTTCTCAGCTACTTGAGAGGCTGAAGTGGGAGGATCACCTGAGCCCAGGATGCTGAGGCTGTGGTGAGCTGAGATCTTGCCCTTGCACTGCTCAGGTGACAGAGTAAGACCCTGTCTTAAAAAAAATAATAAATTAGGTCTTGCACAAACATGGTGACTTCCCCACACCCCAACTCCCCAGTATACCCATTCCACGGAGGGGAAAGCAGACAGAGAAAAATGACTTGTCAAGGCCACACCTGGTGGAAATGCAGGGATGGAGCTGATATTTACAGTGAAGTTAGAGTGATCAGCCAGGGTGGGAGCATGGGTGCGTTGAAACACAATACTTATTCTCCAGGGGCTTGATGAGACAAGGTCTGCCAGATTCTGAGACAAGGTGGTCCAGCATGGTAAGAACAAAATTTTAAAAAATGTACATTTGTTGAGGGCTAAATATGTGCCAGGCAGTGTGCTAAGAGCTTTCCAGGCAATAACTCATTGTATTTTCCACTGACCCTATTTTGTAGGCACTGTACAATTATTATCCCCATTTTCCAGATAGGGAAATTGAGGTACAAATGAGTTAAGTAACTTTTTTTTAATGGAATAGGCTCCTGGGGAAAATTTACAAGCCTAAGATTATTAGAGAAAATAATGTACAGCTCCATTTGCCTGTTAGCCCCATGAGGTGACATACCACGAAAAGAGCATTGTGGGTCTGTATTCCAGAACAAGGAATTTCCTCCATTATTTTATTTTCATTGAGCTTAAGCATAACAGTAAGCTTACCCACAAGATGCTTGGGGGCCAGGCAGGCTAGAGGGAAGTGTCAGCCTTTTTTTTCTGTTGTTATGAAAAGTTTCAAGCATATACAAAAGTAGAGAGAAAAGTCTGATGAACGTCCCAGAATGCTTTTGGTTTAAACCATTGCACTCCTCAAGGGAATGTTCTCCTAAAAGAAATCAGAAGATCTTGAGAAAGTCCTGTCTCCCTCATGGTGGGCAGGGTGGACAGGGAGGGCAGTGGAGGGGGTGAAAGGGTGTTGGGCTGAACCCTGAAAAGGGGCTAGATGAAGAAGGGGAAGGCCTGTAGCCCACTCAGGGCTGACTCCATAGACCACCCCAGCCATGAAGCTGGAAACAGTCTGAAATTTAGAACTGCCCCTTAAAAAAAAAAGCTATAATCCACACACCATAGGATTCATCATTCTTAAATGTATAATTCAGTGGTCTTTTAGTATATTCAGAGGCGAGTAATCATCACTGCTATCTAATTCCACCAGTACATGTTCATCACCCCAAAAGAAATCCCATACCACTAGCAATAACTAGTGCCTTTGAGCTGGGCATGGTGGCTCACGCCTTTAATCCTAGCACTTTGGGAGGCTGAGGTGAGAGGATTGCCTGAGCCCAGGGATTCGAGACTAGCCTGGGCAACGTGGCGAGAACTTGTCCCTATATAAATAAATAAAAAAAATTAGCCAGGCGTGGCAGTGCACGCCTGTAGTTCCAGCTACTTGGAAGGCTGAAGCAGTGGGTCGAGGCTGCAGTGGCTGTGAGCATGCCACTGCACTCCAGTCTGGGCGACAGAGTGACACTCTGACTCAAAAAAACAAAAACAAACAAACAAAGAGAACTCTCCTTCCCCTGGCTCCTGGCAACCGCTATGGATTTGCCTATTCTGAATGTTTCATATAAATGGAATAATACAATAGATCACCTTTTGTGTCTGGCTTCTTCCACTTGGCATGATGTTTTCAAGATCCATTCATGTTGTAGCATGAATCAGTACTTCATTCTTTTTTCAGGGCTTAATGATATTTCATCGTATGACTATGCCACCTTTTGTTTATCCATACATCTACTGATAGCCATTTGGGTTGTTTCCATGTTTTATCTATTGTTAGTAATACTTTTATGAACATCTATGTTCAAGTTTTTTGTGCAGACTTGTTTTTGTCTCTCTTGGCTATATACCTAGTAGGATTTCTGGATCATATGATGACTATATTTGACTTTCTGAGAAAGTGCTAAAGTTTTCCATAGACTGCACCATTCCCAGCAGCAATGTATGAGGATTTTAATTACTCCCCACCCTCACCAATATTTGATCTTTTTCTTTTTAAGAAATTATAGTCATCCTAATGAGTATATAGTTGAGGTTTTGATTTGCATTTCTCTTATGATGTTCAGAATCTTTTCATTTATTTGGTAATTTGTATACCTTCTTTGGAGAAATGTTTATTCAGATCCTTTACCTGTTTTTCAACTAGGTTGTCTTTAGATTGTTGAGTTGTAGGAATTCTTTATATCTGTGATACTAGACTCATCAAATACATGATTTTCAAATATTTTCTCCCATTCTGCGGGTCTTTTCACTTTCCTCTAGTTTTTCCTTTGGATGCTTGTGCTTTTGGTGTTTAAGAAACTGCTTATGCCAAGGTCACAAAGAGTTATATACTCATGTTTTCTTTTGTGAGTTTTAACTCTTACATTTAGGTATTTGATTAATTTTGAGTTGATTTTTTGTACATGGTGGAAGATGGGGGAAGAGTTTTCTCCCCCTCTCCTTCCCTCCCCCCTCCCCCTTCCTCTTTCTTTCTCTCCCCCTTCTCCTCCAGGGCCACAAACACACAGAAGCGACATTGTACTGTTTATTTTTTAGCAACTAGCACTGATGGAGTTTCGTTTCAATCACCAGGCCCAAAACTGAAGTAGCAAGGCTCAAACATTTCACCCTGGGTAGCATTTGCTAGTTTAAACAATACTCTCCTATTTGATCTCTTCAATAACCAAGTCAGAACATTGTCAAACTTTAGATATGAGAAAACAGACTTGGAGAGGTGAGTGAATTGCCTAAAATCGTGCAGGAATCCACATGGCAGAGTCAGAATTTAAGTCTGGAGAAGAGAACCCTGGAAAAAGGGAGATGGAAGTCCTGGGTCATAGTCACAGCTCTGGCACTTGTACTTGTGTGATCTTGCACAAGTCAGGTCCTTCTTGGGGTCTCAATTTCACAATAGGTAGGTAAGGGGGTGTCCTTGGTAAATTACTGTAATTTATCCAATTTATCCAATTTATAGGATATCAACAACATTTCAGGCTCTATGCAAGGCACTTTAAGTGTAACACCTCTAATTTTTTTCAATAACCTTATAAAACAGGTACAATCTTCATTTCCTAGAAGAGGAAATGCGGACTCTGAAGCTAGTAACTGAGGACACTTGCCTGGAAATAGGAGACTGGGCCAGGAACCCATGTTCCCCTCCTAGCCACTCCATATTGCCAAGTCACTTAGCTTCCTTGGGACTCAGATTCCTTATCTGTAAAAGCCAATAAACATTCCTTCCTCATAGTTGCTGTGATGCCTGTGGGCAAAGCCATCCATTCATTTATTGAATCTTTATTGGGCAGCTACAAGATACCAAACTTTGTTCTAGGTGTGGACCGAACAGAAAATAAGAGAACTGTAGCTCTCAGTGTTTACATTCTAGTAGGAGATGGGGTGGGGGTGGGGGGGAGGATGAGGGGACAGAACAAAGAAGCAAAGGGAAAAAATGCAGGTAATATCAGATTACGATGAGTGCTATGAAGAAACAACATGATATGGGTGGAGTGAGACCGCTGGGGAAGCCCTTCAAAGGGGTGACATTTGTGCTGAGATCTGAATGATGCAGGAAAATTTGGGGCCAGGCTGTTCAGAAAGAGGACAAAGCAAAAGTGTCAAAGGATGAACCAGTTTCTATGAGATTAAATGAGATAATACAAGTGAAAGGGAAGTAAAGGTTACAGGATTAATTTTAGTGCAAGGAGCTTTTACTGTATGCCCACTATGTGTCAGCACCTGGATTCGGCACTGAGTAGACTGGAGATGATAAATACAGTCACAGGCTTCAAGGTGCTCACTATCTAGCTCACAGAGAGCAGTTTTTCAGCTGATGAAATGGCGCATGTAATCAAGAGGTGGAAAATTAATTCTTATTCATGTTTTTGCAAATGCGTCCAGTAGGTATAGAGAGACAGCCATAGATCACAGAGGTGCCCGGGTTAGACTTTGCAGTCACCGAGCCTCTATGGCGTCGATCCCTCCTTCGGGCGCTAGGGTGCGCTCTACCGTCCCGCAGTGCTGGCTGGAAGGTACCACCCTCTCCCCTACTTCCCTTCTCGCTGCACCGTACTTCCGGTGCCTAGCGGAAGCGGGCACCTACAGCCGCGGGCGCCGGGGTCCTAAGGCATGGCGGGGGCGGGGCTGGGGGAGGCGCGCACGGAGCGGGCTGAGGCATCCCTCGCCTTGGCTCTCTGAGCCCGGACCAGACAGGTGAGGACTTCTCGTTTTTGGCCCAGCCTCCAAGCCCGTCAGACCCTCCCCGCAGGCTCCTCCCCGCCTGACGCTGAGGCCCAGAGGCCCCACGGCCCCCGCCCTTCCTATGAGTTCTCTTCCCATTGAGGCCCCGCCCCGGGCATTTCTTTCCGGGGGCGCCCCCTTGGGCATGTGTGCCCGCCCCTTGGCACCCCTTTTTTGTTTTGGAGGTCATCATAAGGAATTGAGGGACACGTGCACCTTTCCCCATGGGGAAACTGAGCCCCAACAAGGGGAAAGAATTTAGTACCACTAGTGAGTTCATGGCCCGATTCAGTGATGCTTTCTTCTTTTTTCTTTACTAAACGCCTACCGTGTGTCAGCCCAAGTGCCAGGCTCTGAGAATACTCGGTGACCTAAGTAGACTTGGCTACTTTCTATCTGGGGAGTGCAATTTAGAGGAGGGAGTCAAACGTTGAACACATGATCATGCACCTGAAAGTATTAATACAAATTGTGACAGTTACCACGGAGAAGATAGCAAATAATGAGGAGGCCCGTTTTTGGATAGGATAGTCAGGGAAGACTTCCGGAAGGAGATGACACTTCAGCTGCAACCTGAGAAATTAAGGCAAGGGCTGGGGGAAATGGATTCCAGGAGGAGGGACTAGCCCTCGTGGATGCCTTAGAAGGCAAAGAACTTTGCATGAGGCAGGTCCAGTGTTCAAGAAGGGAGGCTTACCATGTGCCAAACGCTGTGATGAGCATACAGAATGCAGTGTTTGTGTACTGGTCCTTGGGAGTACACTATCTAGCGAGAGCCATAGATGTAAGTAAAATCCAGAGGCAGAGTTGAAGTGTAGTGAGTGCAGTGAAAGAGAGGTGTGGTGTTGGGATTTTATCTAATGGAGAGGTGGAGAAGTCCCTGAGGAAATGATGATTAAGCTGATATCTGAAATAGTAATTAACTCAGCAGAGTGAGAAGAACTTAACTTCAATAAAGGGCCAGACAAGAAATGTTTTAGGCCTGCTGGCCATATGGTCTTTGTCTCAGCTACTCAACTCTGCCTATGTAGAGCAAAAGCAGCCATAGGCAATATGTAAATAAATGGGTATGGGTGTATTTCAGTGAAACTTTATTTATAAAAACAAAGAGGTGGGCTACATTTGGCCTGAGGGGCAGTAATTTTCAGACCCTTGCTCTAGTCTAAGTCAATATGCATTTTATATCCTTATGTGTGAGTGTATATAACTCACGCACATAGAATTGAAACAAAGTTTTTATAAAACAATGCTTACCACTACTATATGTGATACAGTTTGATATTTTTTATTTTATTGTATTTCATTTTTTAAAAAGTCAGTAAGAATATCCACTAAATTGATTTTAGGGTCCTGTTAATAAGGTGTGACTAGCAGTTTGAGAAACTTGATTTACTCAGTCATAGAGGTATGTACATTTTTAACTTGACTATATGATATATATATTTATATAAAGCATTTGAGATCCTTTTAGAAAGATAGATATAAGTAAATACCTCATTGTGTGTGTTTTTATTTCTAAACTACAGATTGGATCCAGTCACTCCTTTGCTTTCTAATCTTTTCTAGGCTTCTCTTTTATCATTCACGCTGTGCTTCCTGTGCTCTAACCACTTGGAATTATTCTGTTTCCCAAGTGTGCCATGCTGTGCTCTTTTCAAGTATGTTTTTAGGTGCCATTTTTTCTGGAGTGTGCCTCTTTTACTTTACCCAGTGAATTCTTTATCCTTCAAGGCCCATGTCAAATGTTGCTCCATTCATTCATTTAATGAGTTTGTAAACACTTGCTGTCACTTGTCCTAGGTGCTAGGAATGCAGCAAGGAATTAGACAAGATCCCTGCTCTCTTGTATAGGGGTACAGATACTAAAAAGGTAAACAACATGATTTCAGAAAGTGATAAAGGCTATGAAGAAAATAAAATGGGATAAAATGATAGATTCATGTGGATGGGGGTAAGGGATCAGGGAAAACTGAAGAGTTGCTATTTTGTTTTTTTTGAGTTGCAGATTCACTCTGTTGCCCAGGCTGGAGTGCAGTGGCACGCCTACTGCCACCCCAGCATTGACCTGCTGGGCTCAGGCGATCCTACCGCCTTAACCTTCCAAGTAGCTGGAACTTTAGGTGCACACTACCACGCCCGGCTAATTTTTTGATTTATTATAGAGATGAGGTCTTGCCAAGTTGCCCAGACTGGAGAGTTGCTATTTTAACTGAGACTTGATGAAACAGAGGCAGCTCTTTTAGATCTTAAAACATGTTTTATGGCTGATCTCGGTGGCTCAACCTGTAATCCCAGCACTTTAGGAGACTCAGGCGAGTGGGTTGCCTGAGCCCAGAGGGTTGAAGACCAACCTGGGCAACTTGGTGAGACCTCATTTCTACAATAAATCAAAAATTAGCTGGGAGTGGTAGCATGTGCCTGTTGTTCCGGCTACTTAGAAGGCTGAGGCGGAAGGATTGCCAGAGCCCAGCAGGTTGATGCTGGGGTGGCCATGAACGTGCCACTGCACTCCAGCCTGGGCTACGGAGTAAAACTCCAACTCGAATGAATGAATGAATGAATGAATCATGTTTTACTTCCTTCTGCCCTCCATGGTTTCTGATGAGAAATCCACAGACTATTAAATTGTTGTTCCCCTATAGGTAATGCATTGTTATCTGGTTGTTTTTGAGATTTTTTCTTTGTCTTTTAGTTTTTCCCAGTTTAACTATGATATATATGGGCATGAATTTCTTTGGGTTTATCATATTTGGGGGTCTCTGAGCGTCTGAAATTTGGAGTTTATATCTTTAGGCAAATTTAGGGAGTTTTCAGCAATTATTTCTTCAAAAATTTTTTTTAATCATTGCAAAATTTTTCTCTTTCTGGGACACTGATGACAAGGGTGTTAGTTAGCCCTCTTATTATTTTTCCCTAGGTTTATGAGACTGTTTACTTTCTTCAATCTTTTCTTTTTTGTTTAGATTGGATAATCTCTACTGATCTATCTTCAAGGTGACTATCTCTTTCCTCTGTTGACTCCATTCTGCTCTTGAATTCATCCAGTGAGTTTTTAATTTTGGTTATTGCTTTTCAGCTCTAAACTTTCTGTCTGGTTCTTTTAAGACATACCTTCTAGCTGGGTGTGGTGGCTCATATCTGTAATCCCAGCACTTTGGGAGGCTGTGGCAAGAGCCCAGAAGTTCAAGACCAGCCAGGGAAACATGGTGAAACCTCCTCTCTACAATAAATAAAAAAATTATCCAGGCATAGTAACACATGCCTATAGTCCCAGCTACTTGGAAGGCTAAGGCAAAAGGATCGCCTGAGGTCAGGAGATCAAGGCTGTGGTAGCTGTGATCATGCCACTGCACTCCAGCCTGGGTGACAGAATGAGACTTCAATTCAGAAACAAACCAAAAAAAATCATTCGATTTCTTTTCTGAGACTGTTTTTCTACTCATTTCAGGAGTGTTTGTGATTGCTTATTGGAACATTTTTATAATAGCTACTTTAAAATCTGCCAGTGAATTCCAACTTCTATGGCATCTCAACATGATGTCAGTCACTTGTCTTTTCTGAGTTGAGTTTTTTCCTAGTACCTGATATGCTGAGTAACTTTGGATGGTATCCCAGACATTTTGAATATTATGTTATGAAACCGTGGAACTTGTTTAAATCCTGATATTTTTTTGGCTTGGCATGTAATCTACATAATTAACTTCAGGTTATTAGCAATTTGCTTCTTATATAGGCTATGGTTCCAATGTCCGATCTTTTTTTTTTTTTTTTTTTTTGAGCTGGAGTCTCACTCTGTTGCCCAGGCTGGAGTGCAGTGGCATGCTTATGGCCACTGCAGCCTTGACCTGTTGGGTTCAGGCAGTCCTTTTGCTTTAGTTTTCCCAGTAGCTGGAACTACAAGCACATGCCACCGCACCCGGCTAATTTTTTGATTTATTATTGAGATGAGGTTTCACCAAGTTGCCCAGGCTGGTCTCGAACCCCAGGACTCAGGCAGTCCTCTCGCCTCTGCCTCCCAAAGTGCTTGGATTATGGGCATGGGCCACCACACCCAGCTCAGATCAGTTTTTAGAGTCTTTGTAATGCTATCTGGATCTGTCCTATGTGTGTGACCCTCCTTGGCCTGTCTAAGGTCTGGGTGATGGTCCCTGTGTTCTCAAAGGCTTTAGTATGATGATTTGGAACAGATCCACACATATGTAGCTCGAGGCAAGCTTGGGAGTTCATAAACAACTTCATGGCATCACTTTTCTGAGCTCTTCCCTCTCTGGGATTTCCCCAGTACCTTCTTCCATGGGACTTTCCTTTTTGACCGTCTGTTGAGCAAGTTAGGACTTGCAACTTCATTGTCCATTTAGTTGTACTTTCTGATTAGCCTGTTATTGTCTTCAAATACCTGCCTTCTATTTTGTCTATTTTATAGCTGCGTTCAATGGCATTTGCTTGCTCTGTCTTACCTGGCAATAGCCTTGTTACTTGTAAGTTTTTCATTAAATTCCATTGACTTTTATGGCCTGTGGTTTAACTTTGATTTGAGTCAAGGTAGAATAAAACGTATTTGGAAGCCTTAAGATAAATGCAGTATAATAGATGTCCCATCAATATTTTAAAAATATTTTTATTATGATTAAAAATTGGCATGAAATTTACTATCTTAACTATTTTTAATTTTTTTTCTTGGGTTGGAGTCTCACTCTGTTGCCCAGGCTGGAGTGCAGTGGCATGCTCATGTTACCGTAGCCCTGACCTGCTGGGCTCAGGTGATCCTTCCATCTCAGCCTTCCAAGTAGCTGAAACCACAGATACTCATCATCATGCCATCAATTTTTTTGATATAGGTAGAGACAAGGTCTTGCCATGTTGCCCAGGCTGGTCTTGAACCCCTGGGCTCAGGCAATCTGCTCGCCTCCGCCTCCCAGAGTGCTGGGATTACAGGTGTGAACCACCATGCCTGGCCTATCCTAACTGTTTTTGAGCATGGCGTTTACTGTTATGCATATTCATGTTGTTGTGAAACAGATCTCTGGAACTTTTTTATTTTTCTAATCGGAAATTCTTATCCACTAGACAGCACTTTCCCTTTTCCCTCCCCTTTGTTCCTAGTAACTACTGTTCTATTTTCTGTTTCTATGAATTTGACTACTTTTGATACTTCATGTAAGTGGAATCATACAGTATTAATCTTTTGTGGCTGGTTTTTTGACTTAACATAATGTCTTCAAAGTTCAACAATATTTTAGTATATGTCAGAATTTCCTTTTTGAGACTGACTAATATTCCATTGTATGAGTATTCCACATTTTGTTTATCTGTTTATCCATTGATGAACATTTGGGTTGCTTCCATCTCTTGGCTACTATGAATGGTGCTGATGTGAACATGAGTATGAAAATATCTCTTCAAGATCCTGCTTTCAGTTATTTTGTATTTATTCCCAGAAGTGGAATTGCTGGATCATATGGTAGTTCTAATTTTAATTTTTTGGGGGAAGCTCCATACTGTTTTTCATAGGAGTTACATCTTTTTACAGTTCCACCAACAATGCACAAGGGTTTCAATTTATCTACATCTTCAACAATACTTGTTGTTTTCAGGTTTTTTGGTAATAGTCATCTTAATGGGTGTGAAGTGATATCTCACCGTGGTTCTGACTTGTATTTCTTTAATGATGTTGAACATCTTTTCATGTACTTGTTGGCCATTTGTCTATCTTCTTTTTTAAAAAAATTATTTTATTACAGAAATGTGGGATGCAAGTGAGGATTAGCTACATAAGTAGGTTGCATGCAGGTGAAGTTTGGGCTTCTAACTGGCTCTCACTCCCCCTGGTAGTGCACCAGGTTTTCTTTGTGTTTTCTCGTACCTCTCATTCTTCTCTCTCCCTCCTTCCCCTAGTAGTGCCCAGTGACTGCTGATCCCTCCCTTGTGCTAATGTGACTGATGTTCAGGGCCTACTTATGAGCGAGAACATGTGGTATTCAGTTCTTTGTTCTGTGATAGTTCACTTAGTGTGATGGTCTCCAACTCCATCCAATCTGCTGTGATGTTCATGATTTTGTTCTTCTTTTTTTTTTTTTGAGTTGGAGTCTCACTCTGTCGCCCAGACTGGAGTGCAGTGGCCGCTCCCGGCCACTGCAGCCTCGACCTGCTGGGCTCCAGTGATCCTTCCGCCTCAGCCTTCCAAGTTGCCGGAATTACAGGTGCGCGCTACCATGCCCGGCTGATTTTTTTGATTTATTGTAGAGATGAGGTCTCGCCTGCCCAGGCGGGTCTCGAACCCATGGGCTCAGGCAATCCACTCACCTCAGCCTCCCAAAGGCGCGGGATTACAGGCTGAGCCACTGAGCCCGGCTGATTTTGTTCTTCTTTATGGCAGTATAATACTCCACCATGTATATGTACCTTATTTTCTTTATCCAGTCCATTTTCCATGGGCAGAAGGTTTGCTTCCATGTTTTTGCATGGAATATTGTGAATAGTGAATAGTGCAGCAATAAATGTGTATGCAGCTGTCTTTTTTTATAGAAAGATTTATATTCTTCTGGGTATATTTCCAGAAGAGAGATTGCTAGATTGCATGGAAGGTCAGTTTTTTAGTTCTTTTAGGAAGCGCCACACTGCTTTCCATAGAGGTTGAACTGGTTTGCTCTCCATCCAACAGTGTAGAAGCATTCTCTTTTCTCTGCACCCATGCGAGCATCTGTTGTGTTTTGACTTATTAATGATAGCCATCCTTACTGGAGTTAGGTGGGATCTCATTGTAGTTTTGATTTGCATTTCTCTGATGATTAGTGAGGCTGAGCAGTTTTTCATGTGTCTGTTGGCTACTTGTATGTTGTCTTTTGAGAAGTGTCTGTTCATGTCCTTTGCCCACTTTTTTTTTATAATCAGTATTTTTTATTATGATATTGTGGGGTACAGTTAAGGGTTAGGTATACAAATATGCTTCGTTCAGGCACCCTTGTTGATA